TAGAAATTTCAACTTTCTTGCATTTCACAGAATTATAGAATAGTAGAGTTGGAAGGGACATCAAGAGATTATCTAGTTCATACTCCTATGCTGAGGCAGGATCAAGTATACCTAGACCATTCCTGACCAGTGGTTTTCTAACCGATTCTTAAAAACCTTCAGTTATGGGGATTCTACAACCTCTCTTGGTGTAACCTCATATTTAACTATCCTTAGAGTTAGAATTTTTTTTTCTGCTATCTAACCTAAATCTCCCCTGCTGTGGGCTGACTAAGGTGATTACTTGTCCTAGTTTTAGTGGCTATGGAGAACAGTTGATCACCATCCTCTTTGTAACTGCCTTGAACATATTTTTGATATTCTTTTTTAATGGTCACTGTGCATCATTCCTTTTTTATTACATTTAAATGTAAAAACTGTCCAAAGAGGGCTAAAAAATGAAATTTCTTGTACTTAATGTTGATGTTTGAGTCTCAATTAATGTTTGAAGCTTGCACCTCCGTGAGATGATAGAGAATCAGATGATGAGAAGATGGAGTGGAAAGAGAGAAGTTTCTTCATCCTTGAAGTAAACAGCATGGGGGAGGAGTAAGACCTGGTCTGCACAAAGTTTTGTACTAATTCAACTATTTTGGTTAGGAGTCTGGATTTTTTTTTTTAATCAAAATAGTTAAATTAGTGCAAACCCTAGTGTGGACACAGTTATATCAGTATAAAGGTACTTATATTGGCGTAGCTTATTCCACTAAATTTATAACTCTTAAGGGTTGTACCACGTTAACTATACAGGTTTCAAACAGATATAGTTAAAGCAGTACAAAAAAGTTGTGTATTCAAGCCATAAATTTCAACTTTTGCCGCAGGTACCATCTTTGCCTGAAAACTCTGTTCTTCAAAGCTGGGTTTACAGGACACCAGCACAATGATTTATGTTGGCTCTTCCTTGGTAATAGAAGAAGACAGTTATTTTAAAGTTTAGAATTTGCCAAATATTACATCGAGCAAAAATTAGGGCAAAAGCATAAATTATTGGGATAAACAATATTTTAACACATAGGATTTTCTCCTGTTGATTGTTCCTGAAGTTAAAGCACTGGGGCTTCTTTTCAGTACTTTGCTATTTTCTTCACTGAGCTCTTTACAGTAGCCATAATGGAAATGAGCATACAGGAGCAGCTTGAGTGCAGCATATCCTGTGTCAGCTGAGTCATTGATAAGGCCTGGGAGGGAGAATGTACAGTGATCTATCCACCCAGAACAAAAGAAATATTTTTAGTTACTTTCAGTTTTTTATAATCTGGTCAGGGTTTTTTTCCTTCAAATTTGCTTGTGAATATGCTCCTCAGTGAAGATTATCTACATGCCATTTTAAAGCTATTTTTGACTCCTGTGTATGGGAGAAAATTTGTGGTAATTTTAGGAATTAGGAGAAAACGGTGTTTTTTATTGTTATCCTTGCATAACTCAGATAGCTATGTTCAAACTGCCCCTCTGTTCAACTTTTGTTCAAACTGCCCCTCCAAAACTCGCCATTGAACAGAGATGAAACATGGTTGATTTTAGTCCAAAAGCAATGTTCAAAAAAGTTTTATGTGTGAAAATGAGTCTATAAATGAAACTCTTTTTGCATTGTTTGTATTGTTTGCTATCGTACAGTTGTGATAATGTGAGTTAGATTGTGACAAATAGGCTATGAATTACACATTTAAAAAAGAGAGAGACTTGTGTTCTCATTAATACTTGATCATCCCTTTCTTTCAAGAATCTGAGTGCTTTATAACTCTGACTGTTATCCCGATTTTACCGATGAGAAAATCCAGACAAAGAAAGTTTAAATTACTTTTCTCATCTTTCACAGCAAGTCAATGTCCATAATAGAATCCTTATGTTATTTTCAGTCTCTAAATCTGACTACCGAACCATGCTGCTTCTGGTACCCAGGCACAATGGAAGAGCTGCCTTAATGCCTTTATTACTGTGTTCCATTGTACACTGAAGATTAAATTAGTGGATTATACCTTAATTGTACACTTTTTCCTTCTTTGTATATTATGGGAACGTATTGTTTGTATTTGAATTTCCTTTCTCAGTGTAAAAAATGTGCTGTTGAAGGGTGCCCATAGTGTTAAATTGGGATTATATCCAATTTCTGCTCTTCTACATCTTTATGCACGTTTGTGAAAAACCTAAATGCATTGGCTTTCTCTCTTGTATGATAACTGAATACAATAGGATTTAAGATATGGTGTCAACGTTCCTTCCCCACTCTGAACTCTAGGATACAGATGTGGGGACCTGCATGAAAGACCCCCTAAACTTATTCTTACCAGCTTAGGTTAAAACTTCCCCAAGGTAAAAACTTTTACCTTTTGTCCTTGGACCTTATGCTGCCACCACCAAGCGTGTTAAACAAAGAACAGGGAAAGAGCCCACTTGGAGATGTCTTCCCCCCAAAATATCCCCCCAAACCCTACACCCCCTTTCCTGGGGAAGGCTTGATAAAAATCCTCACCAATTTGCATAGGTGAGCACAGTCCCAAACCCTTGGATCTTAAGAACAATGAAAAAGCAATCAGGTTCTTAAAAGAAGAATTTTAATTAAAGAAAAAGTAAAAGAATCACCTCTGTAAAATCAGGATGGTAAATACCTTACAGGTAATCAGATTCAAAACACAGAGAATCCCTCTAGGCAAAACATTAAGTTACAAAAAGACACAAAAACAGGAATATACATTCCATTCAGCACAACTATTTTACCAGCCATTTAAACAAAACAGAAATCTAATGCATATCTAGCTAGATTACTTACTAAGTTCTAAGACTCCATTCCTTTTCTGTTCCCGGCAAAAGCATCACACAGACAGACAGACCCTTTGTTTCCCCTTCCCCCCAGCTTTGAAGGTAACTTGTCTCCTCATTGGTCATTTTGGTCAGGCGCCAGCGAGGTTATCCTAGCTTCTTAACCCTTTACAGGTGAAAGGGTTTTGCCTCTGGCCAGGAGGGATTTTATAGTTCTGTATACAGAAAGGTGGTTACCCTTCCCTTTATATTTATGACACATGGTCATATAAAATGCATTGTCTGTGTAACCCACAAATTGGACCAAAGGCAGTCAGTAATTCAGAACCACAAACTGGTTTCCACTTTCCACAAGATCACATGCCATTTTTGTTGTGTGGTTGAGAGTATCTTACATACCAACATCATTTGTTATGTGTCTTTACCTGTAATGAATATAGTGTATAGTGTAAACAGCCCTCTAATTCTATCAGAACCAGACACGCTGACTTGTTCCGTTTTCTAAAATGGAAAATGTACTTCCTTCTTCTGTCGGTAGGGTCTCTTGGGTGATTGTCAAGATGTTTTTATTAACACAGAATAATATTAAATAGGAGAGTCCTCCTGACAATAGATCTCCATTAGCCGTTATAGCTTATTTGGGATTAGAGAGCTCAATAATCTGGCTAGCAGCCCAGTTTACATTTTTTCACATTTCCTGATTATCTGATTATGTATTTTGGATTACTTTAAAGGGTCTGGAGGAGCATTTGTTAAAACAAACATTTTGAGAGGTTGGAGATACAGCCATATTCAGTAGGGAAGAATTCAGGCTGTCTGTGGCAAAAAATCAGGCTTAACTCACTACTGTCTTATTTGTGATCTCTCCTAGGACGCATTGTTTATTGTACCTTTTATGTTTGTTCTATTAATGTATTATAATTGCTCCTTTTGGAAGCAGCAGATTCTAATACTGATATTTATATGCTGCTGTAGTTATAGCTTTGATTACATTTGAAAGTAGCTCTTGGACTCCCAGTATAGTGGGTTTAGGTTTGCCACACTTTGGGTCAAAATCATGGCACCTTGTAAATCTCCTTTCCACAGTAGTGGAAAGGGAATTGAAACATCAGCCATGTCATAGGTGTTAGTGTGCTCTGGTAGTCTTGGCTGGCAGAGCAGCTTTTGGGAAACTCTGATCCACTGGAGCATGTTTGACCAGACCTGAAACTGCTTTTACTTACATCAAGAACTGGTTTAGCCTCCGGGATCAAGGAGAAGTAGAAAGATCGCATAAATGTCCTCTCCACCTACTTCCCTCCAGATATGATGAAAACTGTTCTGTGTTAACTGGGTATTTAATCCTTGGTTTGTTAGTTTAAATTCCAGTATGTATATCCATTTCGCTTTATTTTTATCATGCTTGGGAACTATTGGATTCAAATACACTCTGTTAATACTCTAGTGACTTTTCAGTGGAACAAGGTTTAGTTCCAAATAAATTCATCGCACTGTTCCTGTACACAAAGCAGCGGAACTTTGCTGGGGTCACTTTGTCCTGAGCCTTCTCATTATAGTGTTTCTCTGTGCACTAAAGTGTGATTTCTAGGAGTCCTTGTACTTTCATCTCTCCACGTCCTAAATATACTCTCAAGCACATTCCTTTTTTATGAGTAAGTATAATTCTATCCCTTGATTTCTCCCTCCCCCCCACATCATTATCCCATTAACCTGCACTGTTTTTGTTCCTCATGAGGAGATCAGCTTCAGTTTTTATTTTTAAAGAGCATAGTTAATGCTGCTAACAGGTAGTGATGGGTGCACTGGAGTGTTATGGGTCAGATGCAGATTAGACTTCTGTTTGTCTAGATAGGTAGGATAGACTTGTGTTGGGGTGCTGAAAAGATGAGACTAAATAGGCATATTTGGAAAAAATAATTTTTGAAATTATTTATTTTATTTCTGAGCTTCCAGCATGGTGCAAATTGAATGTCAAAGCTCTCTTTAAAAACCCGTACAAAACATCTATTTCATTATTCATCTCCTATTAGCTATCCCACTGATGCAGTGTAACTTACAGGAACTTGGTGCCCATGATGTTTTCCATTTTAATGGATGCATTTATCATTTAGAAGTAGCTATTTGGGTACTTTGTGCCCTGCAATGATTGTGGATATATTATACATGTGTGAGAGATGGTTCTTGAACTGATTTCTTTGCAGGCTCATGAAGCTACACTGGAGGCCAAGGCCAGCCCAGAGCTGAATGACCGATTCCAGCAGCTGGAGCGAGAGGTGGCACTGTACCAGGAAGAAACCAGTAAGGCTCAAGCTGAAGTGGATCGTCTTCTGGAAATCCTGAAGGAGATGGAAAATGAGAAGAATGATAAAGATAAAAAGATAGCAGAACTTGAGAGGTGAGAGGGATATATGGGTGAAAGGGAGAATTGGGGCTGAAGAAAGTGGAAATTGATTATTCAATTTCTTCTTTTCTCAGTAATCCTTAAATGCCTGTGTTGGGAAAATCTGCTCTGGGTTTTGCTTCTTTGGTCCTTGACCTCAGTTTCTTAAACAAGTTTAAAGATGCCTGGCTGCAGTTCTCTGATTGGATGTTCAGAAAGTAGAGCTGATGCATCTGAACTATAAGGGAAAAGGAGATGGGAGGAAAAGTTGCTGAAATCGTTGTGGAAGAGAAATAAATGAAGTTTATGCTTCTAGTTAATAAACTGTTGAAATATGGCTGACCTCCAGCCCAGACTGGGCAAATAGACTTGTAGGGCCTGGAATGCTAATTGTTGCTGCAAGTCCCTTTGACAGATGCTGTGGAATTCCATGTACTCATAGAAACAGAGGTGAACTTCAGTTTACATGAAGCAGAGGGAACATTTGCTTTTGTCCAAACCATACTTAACTCCAGTACTTTTTTTCTCAATGATTTCTCTCTCTCTGCATTGGTGCCATGGTGCTTTATTTTTCTAAATCCTGTTCATTTTCTGGTTGAGGAATTATGTCGTACGGTGATGCCACTGGCCTTTAGGATCAGAATCACTAGCAATAGATTTCATAGAAGGCATGGAAACAGCTTCTGTCTCCTTAATGTAGTCTCTTCTCTCCCTCAGCAAAATGTCAGGATGGATACTCTTGAGGGAATTCTGCGCCACTGTGCATGTGCAGAATTTGTGTTCCCCACAGATTTCTTTGCTTCCCCGCAGAAAAATGACTTTCTGACAGGGAAGGAAAGGGAAGCCACAAGAGCAATCATGTGACCCTCCCCAGCAGCATGTTTCAGGTGCCCAGGGCAGCTGGCAGAGAGGTAAATCATTGTGGGGCAGGAGGCAGGACTGGGCAAGACCCAGCTGGTGGCTCCTATGCTGCGCTGGGATCAGAGCTGGGCTGGGGAGGATGGGACTTCTTCTTTTCCTGAACGGCATCTGGGGCCAGGTCAGACCCACCCCCAGATTTCTCCCCCGGCTGCAGGAAGCTCTGCAAACTCCCCCATCCCCTGCTTCCTGCACCAGTTGCTCCTCAGGTGCAGGGGGAGGGATCCCTCTACAGGAAGCTGTTCCCCCATCTGCCCAACCACTATGCATCCTGACTCCCTCAAACTCAGATTCTCCCACCGAGCCTCACCCCCCACACTCAGAACCCACCCCCACCCCCCGAGCCACACTCCCCCTGCACTTGGACCACTGTGGTGAGTCACATGCATCCAGATCCCCACCCCACTGAGCCCTAAACAGTTGAACCTGGATCCCCACCCCACTGAGCCACACTCTCCCAACATCTGGACCTCCCATTGAGCCCCCCCCCACACTCAGCCCTCCCCCACCGCCCCGGCTGAGCTGTATTCTTCCACACCCAGACACCCCCCCCCCCCCGAGCCTCAACCACCTTCACCTGGACCCCCCTGCAGAGTACGATTACACCCAGAACCCACAACAAGCTGCTGTGCGTCCAGATCCTCCACTGAGCTGCCCGCAGCCAGATTGCCACACACAGAATCCTCTCAAACCACACCTGGATTCCCCCACATTAAGCCCCTCCACACTTGGATCCTGCCTTGCTGAGCCTGCCTGCCCACACCTGGTGCACCTGGCATGGAGGGAAAGGGCCCTGGGATATTTCTAGAGCAGGCCCAGTGCTTGCACTGTGTTAGGGTTGGGTGCAGCCTCACCGCTGAGTTCATGTCCCAGTGGGGAGCTGGTCAGTGATCTCCCACCTCTGTGCAGCCAGTGGCCTATGCTCCTCAGTGCCATGCTGGAGCCTCCACATTTATTTGACAAATAAAATTTGCAGAATTTTAATTTTTTTGGTGCAGAATTTTAAATATTTTGGCACAGAATGCCCTCAGGAGTAGATGTAAGATAAGTAGGCACAGCAATGTGTTACTTTCTGACTTTCGATTTTGTAATGTGCCAAGCACCTTTTGGGGCTTTTTAAGCTCTAGTATTGAAAATAACATATATTTTGTGTTTGCTTTGATATTCGCTTTTAAAAACAATTAGCCCGGGGCAACTAAATGGAAATTCTTATTTTTCACAAATGCCATGTGGCATGTTAAACACTTTTTTTTTTTATACTAGAGTGGCTTCTTTACGTTATCCCATCAGGATTTAACTGCATTGCATTCAGTGTCAGGAAAACTATACAAGTTGAGGAAGAGACCTGAGCAGAACTTTCATTTGTACCATCGCTAATGCCGCGACTGACGGGCCTTTCTAGATCTTCTTCATAGAATCATAGAATATCAGGGTTGGAAGGAACCTCAGGAGGTCATCTAGTCCAACCCCCTGCTCAAAGCAGGACCAGTCCCCAACTAAATCATCCCAGCCAGGGCTTTGTCAAGCCAGACCTTAAAAATATCTAAGGAAGGAGATTCCACCACCTCCCTAGGTAACGCATTCCAGTGTTTCACCACCCTCCTAGTGAAAAAGTTTTTCCTAATATCCAACCTAAACCTCCCCCACTGCGACTTGAGACCATGACTCCTTGTTCTGTCATCTGCTACCACTGAGAACAGTCTAGATCCATCCTCTTTGGAACCCCCTTTCAGGTAATTGAAAGCGGCTATCAAATCCCCCCTCATTCTTCTCTTCCTCAGACTAAACAATCCCAGTTCCCTCAGCCTCTCCTCATAAGTCATGTGTTCTAGTCCCCTAATCATTTTTGTTGCCCTCCGCTGGACTCTTTCCAATTTTTCCACATCCTTCTTGTAGCGTGGGGCCCAAAACTGGACACAGTACTCCAGATGAGGACTCACCAATGCCGAATAGAGGGGAACGATCACTTCCCTCTATCTGCTGGCAATACCCCTACCTATACATCCCAAAATGCCATTGGCCTTCTTGGCAACAAGGGCACACTGTTGACTCATATCCAGCTTCTATTCCACTGTAACCCCTAGGTCCTTTTCTGCAGAACTGCTGCCTAGCCATTCGGTCCCTAGTCTGTAGCGGTGCATGGGATTCTTCCGTCCTAAGTGCAGGACTCTGCACTTGTCCTTGTTGAACCTCATCAGATTTCTTTTGGCCCAATCCTCTAATTTGTCTAGGACCCTCTGTATCCTAACCCTACCCTCCAGCGTATCTACCTCTCCTCCCAGTTTAGTGCCATCTCCAAACTTGGTGAGGGTGCAATCCACACCATCGTCCAGATTATTTAAGAAGATATTGAACAAATATCTTCTTGCTGGTGTTACTAACTGTTATATGGGCTGGATGTTTTAGGGATGAACTCAAATTGTAGGATCTTCTGAAGGGCCTTGCACAACTTTGTATGGGTCTGTGCTGGTGGTAGGTCCATTCACCACTCCAGCTTCTGCTTTCTTTGTGTACTAGAGCTCATTACCCTGAATGTGCACATACATTTTATCCTCTTCTATGTCTGCCTCTATTCTGTGCACTCATGTTTTCGTCTTACAGTCTCCCCTTCTGTTATGGAGAAATGACTTGCATAAAAATTCCTCTGAATTCAATGGCAAAAACCTCAGCTATTGATTATATTATTCTGAAACTACTGAACTGGATGACTGTGCCAGCCCAGATCTTTGGGTGGCATTCATTCTTGTTCTACTGAAAATGAGTATTGAAGCAGTTCTACAGTCTTGTCAGTTACCTTTGGCTTCCACCTTTTCCCCTATGTTTTTAAATAGCAGCCTGAAATTTATTTTTCCAGGAGTGAAGTTTTATTTTTATTTTTTCCATAGGATCTTCTCTTTTACAAATCCAGAATTTTCTGTATCTGGGACGGCAGTTTGAGCAGATTAAATTGAGTAAATGCAGCCCCTTTTGGTCTGTTTTCCTTCCTTCCCAAACTATACAACCCTAGAGCTCTGTGACATACAATGTATTCAACAGGACATTTGGGCTGTAGGTCTAGAAACTAGGTCAATTGTGTGTGTGTTTATTGCTTAGACTCTTTTTTCCATGCACAAGAGTGATCTACTGTTAAAATCATTACCCTTCGTTTGGGAAAGACTTTGGAAATATGCACCTTTCCTTGTAACCTGATCCCCAAAAGAGACAGAGAAATAAGAAAGAAAACTGCATCATGTCTGTTTTTCAGCACTAGTTCTGAAGATTTATGATATGTTGTATTACAGGAGCACTTAGGGTACGTCTACACTGCAATTAGACACCTCGACTGGCCTGTGCCAGCTGACTTGGGCTCATGTGGTTTGGCCTATGGGGCTCTTTAATTGCTGTGTAGATGTTCAGGCTGCAGCCTGAGCTCTGGGACCCACTCACCTTGCAGGATCCTAGTGCCTGGGCTCCAGCCTGAGCCCATTCATCTTCACTGCAATTAAACATCCCTGCAAGCCCATGTCAGCTGGCATGGGCCAGCCGCAGCTTTTTAATTGCAGTGTAGACATATCCTTAGAAACCACAATCAGGATCAGGACTTCATTGCGCTAAGCAACATACAAATACGCAGACATGGCCTCTGGCCCAAGGAGCTTACGGTTTAAGACAAATATGAGAAATGGGACAAACCCTTGTTTCTGTTACAGTCTATTGCTGTAACAATCGTTCTCCAGCTCTTATATAGCTGGAGAACTACTTTATAAACGTCATTCCAAAGAGCTGCAAAATAATTATGGCATGATTTTGTGCTGCAGTGTTTGTTTCCTGCTGTCTTATACTCTTAAGTTAAAGTCTTCCCATATTGCTGAAAATGTAATATCAGAATGTTTGGAGATGACTCCATGATGATGATTTGGAATCCTGTGACTGATGAACGCTATCTACACTCCTCTCTGTTCCCTCTTTGCTCCTGTAGAGGGAAAAGTTGCTTCTTCTGTATTTATCTTGCCCTCCTTTTTGGTTGCTAGATGAAATGGTATAAGGTCATCATCCACCTTCTTATTCCTGGTGGTCTTGAAGGATGGGAAGATTGGTGTCAGTGGTCCTCTACAATG